CAGTCACTTCTAGCAACTGCTGTTTACTTAGATGAAGACCACAGGTGAAAATGTGAATAGCTGTGAAAGTTGGTGTATTTAAAACTGTCAAGCTAGTATTCAAATTCTTAAGTAATTACTCTTTCAGTTTCTTGTTCTCAAACTAAGTGTTAAACTGTGTTTTCATCTTTTTAAAAAGAGGACAGGAAAAGAAAAATGTAAGTTTAGGGTTAAAAACTTTTACCAATATTAAATACTTATTCTGCTAATAACAAACTATAGATAAACCCTGAAAACTTAAAACTCGTAATTTGTTTAAAAAAACAAGCAAGTAACTGTATAGAGCAAGTCTGTAGAACACATCTGATTCTGTCTCACCAAGGTAATCATTAGACCATCTATCAACAAATAAAAAAATTGGAATGTTTTCAAAGAGTTGACTATGAAATCATGCAATATAAACAGTCGGTTAAAAAGGTTTAACAAGGAAATCAGAAACAGACAACAGTAACACATATACAGAGAACAGCAGCAGAAAGTTTCTATTACAGAATCACAGTAACGGGGGAGTGTGTCTAATCAGAGTTTAAAGAATAATCCCAATATTTTCCACAATGCTAGGGAACTACATTTTTCTTTCAAACTTTATTTATTCATGTGAAAGGCAGAGTTTGAGGGAGAAGAGAGACCAAGAAAGATATCTTCCATCTATTGGTTCACTCCCTAAATGGCTGAAATGACTCAGGCTAGGCCAGGCTGAAGCCAGGAGCTTCTGAGTCTCTCACATGGGTGCAGGGGCTGAAGGACTTAGGCCATTCTCGGTTGCTTTCCCAGGCTCATTACCAGAGAGCTGAATCAGAAGGAAGCAGCTGGGAATTGAATAGACAACCAGATGGGATGCTAGAACTACAAGCTGTGCTTTAACCCACTGTGCCACAATGTCAGCCCCAGTGAACCACATTTTTAAAAAGACATCATTAAGAGATGAAGAAGCACATTGTACAGATAATTATTATTATTATTTTTGTCGACAGGCAGAGTGGACAGTGAGAGAGAGAGAGACAGAGAGAAAGAAAGGTCTTCCTTTTCCGTTGGTTCACCCTCCAATGGCTGCCTCTGCAGCCAGCGCGCTGTGGCCGGCACACTGCCAGTAGATGTTATTTTATAGATAAAGAACCTAAGACCGCACATACCAAGGTTACACCAAGGCAGAGGAACAGTTGAAAACAGAAGCTGTCTGGTTCTTGAGTAGTATGTTGTTGTTGTTGTTAAAAGCCTTCACAGCCCTCAAAGAACAACGGGTGTGAGCAGCCCATTTGACTGTGGTGGAAACTATGACTGAGCTTAAGTTGTGGCTAAGTCTTCACAACGGGGTTTTGACCATATCCTGTGATTTTCTACTAAAAATAAATATTGTTAGATCAAGAAAAGTTAATCTGGCCAGCACCGCGGCTCACCAGGCTAATCCTCTGCCTGCGGTGCTGGCACACCGGGTTCTAGTCCCAGTCGAGGTGCCAGATTCTGTCCCAGTTGCCCCTCTTCCAGGCCAGCTCTCTGCTGTGGCCAGGGAGTGCAGTGGAGGATGGCGCAAGTACTTGGGCCCTGCACCCACATGGGAGACCAGGAGAAGCACCTGGCTCCTGCCTTCAGATCAGCGCGGTGCGCCGGCCGCAGTATGCCGGCTGCGGCGGCCATTGGAGGGTGAACCAACGGCAAAAGGAAGACCTTTTCTCTCCTCACTATCCACTCTGCCTGTCCAAAGAAGAGAAAAAAAAAAAAAACAAAAAACAAAAAACAACTCCCCCAGCAAGAACTGTTAAAGCTGCATAAAAATAAAAGGGTAAAAATAAAAAGCTACCACCTCACACTTCTTAGGATAGGTAATATCCAAAATCCTCAGAAAATAACAAGTGTTGGTAAAGAGCTAGGAAAACTGGAACTCTTGTACACTATTCATGGGAATTGAAGATGGTATGGCTGCTGTAGAAAACAGTACAGAAGTTCCTCAAAAAATTAAGTATTATATGATCCAGCAATTCCACTTCTGGAGATAAACCCCAAGGAACTAAAAGCAGGTTCTTGAGGAAATCTGTACACCCATATTCACAGGATCATTATTCACACCAGGTAAAAGGTAGAAATAAATACAAGTATCCAGTGATGGACAAATAAATTACATATGATGCATTATTTGCCTTTAAAAGGAAGGAAACTGACATATGTCATAATATGGATGAGCCTTAAGGACATTATGTTAAATTAAATAAGCCAAAAGATAAATACTTTATGATTCCACTGAAATGGGATACCCAAAGTGGTCAAATTTATAGAAACAGGTCAGCATTTGGCCTAATGGTTAAGACACCCATGTCCCACATCAGAGTGCCCTGGGTTCAATTCCTGTCAAAGCAGAACATGAGAAGCGGCTGTTATGGCTCAAGTAGCTGGGTTCTTGTCAATCAAATGAGATCGAGATTTAAGTTGCTGGCTCACAGTCCCAGCCACTGGAGGTATTTGAGGAGTGAACCAGCAAACTGGAGCTCACTCTGTCTCTCAAATAAATAAAAAAAAAATCACAAAATAAAAAGTAAAATGATGGTTGGCAGGGGACAGAGAAATGTAAAGTTATTGTTGAATGGATTCAAGAGTTTCAGTTTTTCAGGACGTAAGGTTCTGTGAATGGATGGTTGTGACAGCTGCACAAAAATGTGAGTGTGGTTAATAGCCCTGGACTGTGCACTTCAAAGATGAGTAAAATAGTAAATTTTCCATTATTTTACAATTTAAAAACAAAACCCTCAAGTCCCACTGTTTCATAGCATCAAAAACAACAAAAACAACCTGGATTTTTTGGAGCCAAGAATCTAGAGAAAAGGCAAGGATACTGAGAGGAGTCTCACATTCACCTTCACTGGGTCCCATGGGTCATCTGCTATATTTGGAGGACTGGAAATAAAAGGACAAGCAGAAAGCCCTAGGTGAAGTTAGCTATGGAGCAGCTAAGATTTAAGAGGCCAAGGTTATGAAGGTGAGAGAAATAGGAAGAATCAGAAATTCTGCAAGTAATGTTCCCACTGAGATGTTTATTGACAGATCACCAAGCAAGTAGTTGAGACACACACACACACACAAAAACAAAAACCAACAACCTCCACCCAAAAAAACCTCACAAAAAACAAAAACCCAGCCCACAAAAACCAAACCAAAACAGTGAAACAAAGGAGTGCCAGAAGGCTAAAGAGGTGAGCAGAGACTACAGGCAGACTTGCAGTACTGAAGAGTGAAGAGATCGATGTCAGTAATGTGGAAAGCAACCTGGTAAAGAGCTTGGGCTTTACAGCTGAGATCTCAGAAAGGCTATGTCCTGTGAATAAACAGGCAAACTGAAAACAAAACAGTACTAACAAAGCCTAAAAGATCACGGTGATCTGTTCATACTTTGCCTTCTTGACAGAACAATATTAAACTTCCTTTGGAAGGAAATATCATCCAGAATCTCCACAATTTTCACATACAATAATGGCATTTAATCCAAAATTACAAGGCTTGTCCCTCTCCACAAAAAACCAAACCAAACCAAACCAAACCCCCCAAGACACTCAGGATTGAACATTTGAAGACCCATGGGGGAAAAAAAAAATCAGGCAAAGAGTTCTAATACTACCCAGAATGTGGTAAAAAGCAAAACAAAACAAGAATGAATACAATGTATACTGTAGTCTCTTAAGTAATTCCTAGAGTAATAATAAAACATGAATAATAAGCTATAGGGAAGGAGATGGCATAATGAAACCTACTTATTAACTTAAAGCCCCCAAAAAGCTGGAATAAGCAACAAAAAATGGATGAAATAGAAAATAAAACAGTGGGATAGTAAATTTAAACCCAAATATAAATAAGCCAAATGCTTCAATTTAAAAACAAAGACTGTCAGATGGAGTTAAAAAGCATGTAACTATCTGGTGCAAATGACACACCTTAAATAGAAGGGCACAGAAAAGTTGAATAAAAAGGTTGGGAACTAACTCATCATTTAAATATTAACCAACAGAAAGACATTAGGACAATATCAAATAACACAGACTTTAAGGCAAGAAGTACTACTGGACATATAGAGGGATATTTTTATAGAAATAAAGAGTCAATTCGGGGCCAGCACTGTGGCTTAGCAGGTAAAGCTGCCGCCTACAGTGCTTGCATTCCATATGGGTGCCAGTTCAAGTCCCGGCTGCTCCACTTCTGATCCAGCTCTCTGCTACGGCCTGGGAAAGCAGCAGAAGATGGCCCAAGTCCTTGAGCCCCTGCCACCCATGTGAGAAAGCTCCTGGCTTCGGATCAGCACGGCTCCTGCCTGTTGTAGCCATCTGTGGAATGAATTAGTTGATGGAAGACCTCTCTCTGCCTCTCCCCTCTCCTTCTCTAACTTTTTTTTTTTTTTTTTTTTTTTTTTTTTTTTGACAGGCAGAGTGGACAGTGAGAGAGAGAGAGAGACAGAGAGAAAGGTCTTCCTTTTTGCCGTTGGTTCACCCTCCAATGGCCGCCATGGCCAGGTGCTTCTTCTGGTCTCCCATGTGGGTGCAGGGCCCAAGCACTTGGGCCATCCTCCACTGCACTCCCAGGCCATAGCAGAGAGCTGGCCTGGAAGAGGGGCAACCGGGACAGAATCCGGCGCCCCGACTGGGACTAGAACCCCGTGTGCCAGCGCCGCAAGGTGGAGGATTAGCCTAGTGAGCCGCAGCGCCGGCCTCTCTATTTAACTCTTTCAAATAAAATAAAATCTTAAAAAAAAAAAAGTCAATTCAACAAGAGAAAACATTTGTAAATTTACACACATTTATAAACCTCAAGTACATACATCAAAAGGAGAAACAAATCCATATGAAGTACACAAGCATACAGCTTAAAACTGATTAGGTTTGTGAGCTGGAAGACCATGCCTTCACCATGCTCCTGTGTGATCTCATACCCCTACCTAGCCATACCTGAGTGCCCACAGGCCAATCAGGTTAATTAACCACTCCCCTTTGAAAGTGGATTAAAATCTGGGACAGGGTGTGTCTGGCCCTTTCCCTCCTTTCTCTTCACTCTGGCCTCTTGCAAGTAAGGGGCTGGCTGCAGCCTTGAGCCTCCTGGGCGCATGGCCTTGGGCCACTTGCCCCATGCTTCCTGTCCTAGATGCTCTTCCACGTGGCTGGTTCCTGGTATTTGGTATGAGCCTAGATTTACCCCTCTCTTATAAATAAAGCCCTCACTCTCCTATGATTTCTCTCACTAAATAAGCTTAAAATGTACCATGCTGCCTCATTCATTTATGCCGGTATTTAGAATTCTTCTCAAAATATTAGGCAAGAATCCACTCAGGCTTATTAATAATGGGATTTATTAATAAGTATATGGTGATATCGTATGGCACCCGAAATTCCAATATCACATACTCCAACCTGAAGATTTTAACATTTCTCAATAGCCGACAGAAGGAAACAAACAAAAATCAGTAAGAATATAGAAGATGTAAACAACATGGTTAATACATTTAACCAAACTGGTACTTACACTTCATCTAATAAGTCTAAGTTAAAAAAGTATAATTAATAGAAATTTAAGTTCTTCACCAAAGACACCCCCCTAAAAAAGGGAAAAGGTTAAGTCCAGAATAGAAGACAGTACCTTGCAATTCATATATCTGATTTAGGACTTTTAATGAGCCTTGATAAAGAATTCAGACAAAACACTAAGAGGACGACAAATATACATTTTTTAAAAATGGGCCAAAGATTTGTGTGTGCATTTTTATATTATATATCAACAAACAAACTTTCCACTCAAATTAAGTATTTTCAAATTATCATAGGGCTGGTGGATTAATAGGTACATAAGAGTAACTTTTATGGTATCTATCATTTTTGGTTGAGTTTCCAAGTATTCCAATAATGAGTTAAGTATTGAGTCTAAGTATTCCAATAAGTTTTAAATAACTTCTGATCACAAATAGGAGTCTTTAAGTCTTAGAACAGTGCCTGATATAATAACACACATTCAGTATACAAATGAACTTATGCTCACTGCACAAAGGTGAATGTACCTCAACTCTGAGTTTATCATAAATTCTATTAAACAGTCAACTAATACAATTCTGCACTGAGGTGGTACAGCAAAGTGGGAAAGACCACAGGCTTTGACATCAAAAAAGACTTGATTTAATTCTTTACTTTAGTTATTTAGCAACTTAAATATGCTTGTGGGTTAATCTCTCATCTCAATAATCAATCTTCTTAAACTCCATTTCTTAACCCACAAAATAGAGATTTTGACACTCAACTTGAAGGACAGGTATTTAAAGCATTTCATACAGTGATAGGGCTATGAAACTAAAGATATTTATTGTTATATACACAGAAAAGTATTTTTTACTTTTTCAAAGAAATGAAAATAGGAATTTAATTTTGGTTTCCCAAACCACAACTTCCTGAAACAGCAACAGGAAGAGGAGGTACTGTGAGGATTAAATGAATTAATATACTTTATTTGCCTAAAACAGCGCTTGGTACACACAAAATGACTATGTAAAGTGTTATCAGCTCTTCTAAGTGATATGGGTAGAACCCTAGCCAACCAAGGCCACATAAACTCATTTTAAGGAAACCCGTGATCCAATTAAAACAATCTACCTACACTTTCTAAATTCATTGCCATTTACAAGACATCACATCCAGTTGTTCACTTTCAGTTTTAAGATGGTGTAAAACTTCAGAGCCAAAAGGATTCTAAAATTTTAAATCATATGATTTATCCTTAACTAGATCCAACAGATTGGTTTTCAGCCACCAATAAAGCCTGTGAAACTGTTATGCAGTATGTGGATCCCTACATGCCTACTTCCAGAAAGGGTCCATGACTTTTCACCACTAACCAATGGATTTTCATCACTCTCAAAAACATAAAAGCAAGTTTTTATCCAATAAATTATTTTCACAGATAAGGAAAAAAAGAATCTTACCCAGAGAGGCTAAATAAAAGTTGTGTGCCTTAATTTTCTTCACTACTCCAAATGGCTTATATAAACTGGAAGCAGTCCATTTTATGCACTGTAGCTTCATCCCCTGTCCTCCACCAAGAAATACGTGCTCTATTTCTGACTACAGGCCTGCCTGCTTTGTGCTGAGCAATGTGAACAGCACATAGATACCTGCCTTCCTAAACAATCTGCTAATCACCACACACAGAAAAAACCGGCTACAAGAACATGGTGGTCAACATGTTTATGGTTCTATTACTTTGTTTCAAACAGGAAAAGAAAAATATTAAATAACAACTTTAAACAGCAAGAAGAATGAAACAATTATGTAGGACAAAAACAGAACAAAAAAGAAACAAGAATTGAGAAGGAAGGCAAGGTAAAAATCCTAACTTTCAAGCACATAATATTATTAATGATGTAGTGGCTTTATTTTATATAAATGCTTAGTACCTGGCTTTTGCCCTTACTATAAAAAGATGTCAGCATAATTGACATTGTTAGTCATGGATACAAAAATTAAGAGCATGAGAAAATCCTGTCTTAAATATATCATTCACATAAAAGCAGAGCTGGTAAACATGTTCAACAGATATGATGCTTAATAACCTAAAAGTCATGGGATCCTATTTTCTTTTTTAAAGATTTGTTTGAAAGGCAGAGTTAGAGAGAGGCAGAGACAGAGAGAAAGAGAGAAAGGTCTTCCATCCGCTGGTTTACTTCCCAAATGGCTGCAATGGCCACAGCTGGGCCGATCTGAAGCCAGGAGTTTCCTCTGGGTCTCCCATGCTGGTGCAGGGGCCTGAGGACTTGGGCCATCTTCTACTGCTTTCCCATAGCAGAGAGCTGGATCAGAAGTGGAGCAGCCGAAAAAAAAAAAATTGACCTAAATGAAAGATCTCTGTGAGTGAGATCCCAGCGGAAAGAATGGGCCATCAAAGAAAGAGGTACCTTTCTCTGAAGGGAGGAGAGAACTTCCACTTTGACTATGACCTTGTCTAAATAAGATCAGAGTTGGCCAACTGAAGAGGCTTCCATAGCCTTGGCAACTCATGACAAAAGCTTTGGGTGATTACTGACGTCATAAGTAAGAGTGTCATTTGTTAAATCAACAGGAGTCACTGTGCAGTTGCTCCTAATGTAGGATCTCTGTCTTTAATGTGTTGTGTTGTGCTATGTGAATTAACGGTATAACTAGTGCTCAAACAGTACTTCATACTTTGTGTTTCTGTGTGGGTGCAAACTGTTGAAATCTTTACTTAGTATATACTAAACTGATCTTCTGTATATAAAGATAATTGAAAATGAATCTTGATGTGAATGGGATGGGAGAGGGAGCGGGAGATGGGAGGGTTGCGAGTGGGAGAGAGGTTATGGGAGGAACAAGCTGGTATAATCCAAAAGTTGTACTTTGGAAATTTATATTTATTAAATAAAAGCTAAAAAAAAAAAGAAGTGGAGCAGCTGGGACTCGAACCGGTGCCCACATGGGATTCCGGCACTGCAGGTGGTGGCTTTACCTGCTACACCACAGTGCCAGCCCCCTATTTCTTTTCTTTTCTTTCTTTCTTTCTTTTTTTTTGTTTTTTTTTGTTTGTTTGTTTTTTAAAGATTTTATTTATTTGAAAGGCAGTTACATAGAGACAGAGGGAGACAGAGATCTTCCATCCACTGGTTCACTCCCCAAATAGCCAAAACAGCCAGGGCTGGACCAGGCAGAAGCCAGGATCCAGGAACTCCATCTGGGTCTCCCATGTGGGTGCAGGGTCCCAGGCATTTGGGCTATCCTCTGGTGTTTTCCCAAGCAGGGAGCTGGATCAGAAGTGGAGCAGCCAGGACAAGAACCTGCACCAATATAGATAGCTTGCACTGAAGGAGGCAGCTTAACCCACTACATCACTGCACTGACCCCTACCCTACTTTAAGATTTCATTCTGAAAGCACAGAAGGTATCAAGAAGATTTTTAATCAACCCATCTATCCTCTCCAGACTATAGCTATTTTCAAACTTCTCCTCATGTACATTATAGAATACTGGGAAGAAATGCTTTTTGGAGCTAAAAGTATCACAATCTACAGACCCACCAAGTCCATCATCTCCACATTCTCATCCTAACTTCTCTTCCCCAAGGCCACCCACATCCTCCTTGGCAGCCTAAGCAAACAGCTTATAGCATTTCCTGTTGCTGTTGTAACAAGTTACCAGAAATTAAGTGGCTTATTTTTCTCTTATAGTTCCAGAATTCAGAAAACGGAAAGCAGTTTCAGTGAACTGAAGTCAAGAGGATGCTGCCACGTTCTTTTTGGGAGCTCCAAAGCAGACTCTACCTCTTTGCCATTTTCTTTTTCTAGTGGCCATCTATATTCTGTTGCTAGTGATCCTTCCTCCATCTAAAAAGGCCATGACCCATGGCTTATCCCATGTCAACCTTTCCTCCAACTCTCTGAATCCCCTCTATTTCTTAAGGACCCTTGTGATTGTATCAAGCCATGGGAACAGCCAAAGGATCAACTCACCTAAAAATCCTTATCCACTTGTACAAAGTTCCTTTTGCAACATAAGGTTAACATTCCCAGATTTTAGACACTAGCAATGGATATGCTGGAGAGCAAGAGTACTTTTCAGTCAAACACCTCCCTCAAGCTACCAACTACTCATTCATATGCTTCTGTTACTGACAGTACCACGTTCTAATTCACTAAGGAGACTAAGCTTCAGAAAAGTTTCTCTGTTTCCCTCATCGTCACAAAATTGTTGCTTCACTCTACCTCACCTCTTTACCCATCCTTGACAACTTTCAAATAGCTCAAGGGAACAGTGATCCTCCTCTTTTCCAGGTTCCTTTCTACCTCTGCCTTTGAATTTAGTCCCTCTAATCTTTAAGGATAAATAACTTGCAATAGAACTCTACCTTTCTTGTTTGTGAATATGACTGAAAACAGAAATATTCAAGTAAAGACATAAAAAAAAATCTTTGAAATTCACCATAAGGTTTCATGCAGAAAATTCTACTATTAACATTCTATTAACCCCACGGTAGCCTACAGAATACCACTCATAAATTTAATTTTCCTTTGTATTATATTAATTCTCCTGGTTCAAGGGGAAAAAAAAGAACCAAATATTAATACTTCTAGATTAAATAATTTAAAGAACGAATATTCTGTATGAAATGCTGTAATTTTTTGCAGTTCATTAAAGCTTTTGCATCATTAAAACTTTACAGGAAACTTACACTAACTACTTCCAAACAATCTTAAAAGCTAAATATGCAATGACTGAAAAGCAATAAATTTGAGTAAAGCAGACATTACAAACTCAAAAGCCAGCAGGAGCCAAAGAGGTAACACAAGTCTCAAACATCAGGAATAGGCAGAGTGCCAGAGGCTACCATCAAGACACAAATACAAATATGGGCCGGGGCTGCTGCTCACTAGGTTAATCCTCCGCCTGCGGCGCTGGCATACCGGGTTCTAGTCCCGGTCGGGGTCCTGGATTCTGTCCCGGTTGCCCCTCTTCCAGGCCAGCTCTCTGCTGTGGCCAGGGAGTGCAGTGGAGGATGGCCCAAGTCCTTGGGCCCTGCACCCCATGGGAGACCAGAAGAAGCACCTGGCTCCTGCCATTGGCTCAGCGCAGTGCGCTGGCCGCAGTGCGCCGGCCGCGGCGGCCATTGGAGGGTGAACCAATGGCAAAGGAAGACCTTTCTCTCTGTCTCTCTCTCTCTGTCTACTCTGCCTGTCAAAAAAAAAAAAAAAAAGACACAAATATACCTCCTCAAATAGTGAACCTGTCAAACAACAAAATTACATGGGAAAAATTTTGACCAACGATGCCTCCATGAACTTGTAATTTTATTCACTTTCAAGACTTGAAGAAAAAAAATGTGTTCTATATGGAATCTACACACGTATGCTCATAAATGACATTTTAGACACAGACATCCAAGAGTAAAAGTCAACCAGCTGAGTAGGTGGTAGTTGGGTGTCTGAAACTGACACTCAAAATTCCAACAGTCAAAGCCAGTAATCACAGGAAGAAGAAACTTATAGAGGCTCTAGGGAGGCACAGCCAGTGTAGCTGGGATACGTGCACTATCCAAGTTATTATGAACTGAGCTATCTATGATAGTAACCAATGTCATTAGGAAAACAAATTTTTTACTGTTGGAAAATTAAAACCATAAATTTATCTTACCTAGGGTAGTGATTATAGAGTGGCATATATTTGCCAAAATTCACCCTGAGCAATCCAGATCATTTCAACATACATGAATCGCATCTTTATGTTAAAATGCATTAAGTGCATATTAAGCATATACTATTATGCATAAAATAACAGAATGGAGGATATGAAATGAAAAGCATTTACCTTGTAGAACATGAGGATATGGATATTTTAATTTCTCTCTGAATCTAAAATAACACTTTTAATAGAAATTTTGAAAAGCAATGGCCTAGGGGCTGGCATTTGTGGTGTAGCAGGTAAAGCTGCTACCTGCAACACTGATCCCATTTGGGCACCAGGTTCAGTCCCAGCTACGTTACTTTTAATCCAGCTCCATATTAACGGCCTGGAAAAAACAATGGAAGATGGCCCAAATGTTTGGGCCCTGCCACCAGCACAGAAAACCTGGATGAAGTTCCTGGCTTCTGCCTGGCCCATCCTTGGCTGCTGCAGCCATCTGGGGAGTAAACCAGTGGATGGAAGAAATCTCTCTCCCTCTCTTTCAAATAAAATAAATAAATCTGTTAAAAAAAGAAAAAGGAAAAACATACTATACGTAAACATACAACATCTGCATCAATTCATGAAAGATACATATATGATAACCTAGTTTGTGCAAGCAGATGTGCTATGTGCTTAGGTGTTTAGGGTATAGGGGTTACAGACATTTTCCCCATATTCATAAAGTTCAGACTACTGGGAAACCATGCACTAAACAGTTACTGCAGTAGTACCCCTTTATCCCGTAGTTTTAAATTACCCATGGTCAACAATGGCACAAAAATATTAGATAAGAAACCAACAAATAAATCATAAGTTTTAAATTGCATACCGTTCTGAATGGCATTATAAAAATCTAGCACCATGATACTTCACCTGACCTGAAGGCAAACATTCCTTCGTCGCTTGTATCCATACTGTGGTACCCCTCATCCCCATCAATTGTCAATTTCACAGAGCTTGTGTATGTGCAATCTTTATTCTACTTAATGACCCCAAAGTACAAGAGTAGTGATGCTGGCAATTATATTACAGAATATTGTTATGAATATTATGTTTTACTATTATTTATTATTGTTAATTTCTTACTGTACCTAACTTATAAACTGGTCTGTATCATAGGAATGCATGCACAGGAAAAACACATATGGAGTTTGGTACTATTCCCAGACATCCACTGGGGGTCTTGGAACATACCCCACAGATAACGGGGTCTACTATAATAAATATTACAATGGAATAGTACTGAGTACAAAAACTGAGAGCAACTGCAGTTAGTGAGGAATACATGGGTCACACAAAGTCTACATGGAATTTAAGACTTAAAGAAAGAATAAGTCACAGGAAGAAAAGAAATGTTCTAAAATATTTCCAGATAGAGGATATGTGTGAGGATTCTACGATAAAATGTAAGGATTTCAGTAGGGCAATAACACGATCAGATTTGTTAAAATAGTAACTCTGAGAATAATATGGAAAACAAAATAGAAAAGAGCCCAATGAATATTCTAAGAGCCCAATGAATATTCCTTCAGAGAAATGAAGGTGGTTTGTTCTTAGCTATTAGACATGAAAGCACAGAGAAATTTCAGATTCTAGCAACAGATGTATAAAGAGGGGGAGATAGAAGGATCTGACAAGAGTAAGCTCCAAGTTCCCGGTATAAACTAGAATGACAGTGATTATGAGTTTATGTGGACACATCAAATGAGTGTGGCTTTCATACAATGAAGGGAGCCATCAACTAGACAAACACAAGTAACACAAGTGTGAATCTCAGAGGTTAAGGCAAGAGACATTATTTGGGAATTATCCGCACAGAGTCACAAGAAACTATGGGAGTGAATAACATGAAGAGAATGTACTATGAAAAGAAAACTGAGGACGAAGTATCAAGGATGCCTCTAATGAACAGGAAACGGGAGCAGGCAGGAGGCATCTCAGGGAGTACTTTGTCACAGAAACCAAGGACTTTAGAAAGGAAGAGTGATCAGCTGTGCCAAATGTTGCTGAATAATCAAGGAAAATGAGGATTAGCAGTGATCTTTGCATTCAAAGATGCAGAAATACATTAGTGGTCCTCGAAAGGGCAAAAACTGAACAGAATATTTGAGGTAGACGCTTAACTGGAACATATTCAAAGTGAATGAAATCTGAGACAAGGGAGAAAGTATCAACGTTTCTTATGAGACATTTGGGCAGATGAGAGACGTTTAGGATACAGGGTAGGAATCCATCAGAAAATTTCATGAAATTTAATTTTCAGGATGTGGAGTGGCTTGAACATGTTTAATGCTTGTAAGATTCAATTTTTCTTTTTTTTTTTTTAAACAACGCAAACTTCAAAACCACTTAATATGAGGTGAAGCACTGGACTTTAACAGGAAAGCAGACGTAATATTCCTTTAAAAAAAAAAAAAGGAGAAAAAAAGGGAGAATTTAGAGGTAATGTAGATTCAGTGGTAAGGAATGAACACAGTTTGTGCCTGATGCTTTGTTTTCTGACAGGCAGAAGGCAAGATAATTTACTAACAGGGGAACAGAAGGAAAGCTACAGGTTGTACAGAAATGACTGGTAGAGCAGGCTGACTGGAGAGAAAGTGAGAGTGCTGTGTAAGGGCAGTGGGCACAGTTGATGGGAAGTCTACAGCACTTATCTACTCCATGAAGCTTCTTCCAGCAGAAGACAGGACAGGCAAGCTGCTGGGTTTATCCAGTTTGCAATACCACCAGATGGGTTTGATAAAAGGATGAAGAGACAAAAAATATTAACAGTAGTATATTTTAAGTGAGTATGTGACTACAGAGCAAGCCCTCTGAGTGCCTTACATGAATGGGTCATTTAAGACTCACAGCTATCCTACCCAAATGGTACAATATTATTTTCACTTTATAAACGAGGAAGCTCAGGTATGAATAATTGCTTGACCATGGTCACATAAGAGGCTGAACCAGGATTCAAGGTCTGAGATTTTGCTGCAAACGAAAAAAGAAAAAAGGAACTGAAACAAAACCATATTTTAAAAAATAACATGACCATCTGCATGCTTACTTTAAAATATTTGTCATTAGAAATTGAAATCATAAGTTACTTTTCTCTCTTAGTATGAGATAGTTTTGGAATGGAAATTAAAGAATTACCAAATCAAGAATTAAAAGAGAAGAACGGCAAGCTAACTTAGTTGACATTTTCATGCCAGATACATTTGTTTTCACATGGTATCTCATTTATCCTCCAAATGACAACACAAGGTGAATCTGTAACATGACAAGGAAAATTATGCTCAGAAAAGCTAAGAAATTTGGTAATTTTTTTTTATCAAATCCCAGAAAAATAAAGTAGTCTCTCTGATCCCCTTGCCATTAAGCCCTAACAAAACCAGGGGTAACAAGCCTAACCGAATTCACTCAGCCAAACAAAAACTTCTACAGCTATCTGTTCTCAATAGTTTTAGTTTATCAAATAAAGCAAACTAGCACAAGCTCTTATTACTACTAAAATCATGACTAACAAAATTGAAAATAATTTGAAGAATCTAAAACTTTGGAAGGAAATCACTAGATCCAATTCCTGCTCAGGATTCTTCTTGGCTGACAAAAACGAAACAAATAAAACCCAGAAGAAGAGGTAAAAAGTGGAATACAACATCTGAAGAAGCTAAGATTGCTAGTGCATTGAAACAAGACTGGCTGCAATAATGCACTCTAAGAATTTAGTAGGAGGAAAAGACAGATGGTGACTATTAGAATATAATTATTAGAGAAATATTTGTATTACTATGACATCCCCTGTCACTGAAGATATATGGACTTGAGTTTAAAAACCTGTTAGAGAAAACTCGCCTTTCATCTCTCATGTTGTCATTTAACCACCCTTAATTAACAGCTGTTAATAAAAGGCTTTTCATTATTTCCCATTTTTAAGCACAAGTACTAAACAAAAATAAAATCATTCCTTTTCACTTTTCCATTCTAATCATCCAGTTAGCTAAGTGAACAATTAAGACTCCACTCACAGGCTGAGGCTGGCCCTTAACAAAGGAAATAACTGCTTATAAGAAAACAAAAACCACCTTCCACACTGGGATGTACAATCTGACTAAAATTGACAGAAAGTCATTACGTTTTTGAAATGTTTATCTTCTTAAAAGAAAAAAACAATGCTCTACTTACCATATACATTAGTATGTCTCTAATCATCACCATAGCTGTTTGATGATCATTCCAAGCTTGGTTTAGTGTTTGAAGAAAGTTGTTATTCAATGAATTTAGTACATCTTCTCGCACCTATTAACAGAAGAGTTCATTACAGTTTGTTTATACACATACAAGCATATCTGTTCAATAAAAAATGCAGAGTTCTTAATTTTAAGTCAAAGAAATATTTGTATATAATATGCCAGTAGAAATATTATCAGCTATATCCTACACATAGATAACTACCAATGTTATGTACGGTCTAGACTTTTCTCTTGACCTCCAGAATCATAAAGCAATTTCCTACTGACCTAACATCACAAAAGAAAATCCTGAATTCTTACAACAATAAACTGTAAGAATTTAGTGTTCTTAGACTAAGCTCCAACTAAATTTCCTCCTAAACTTTCCCTCCCTTGCCTCCAAATAAGGGTTGAGAATACTGATTTTGGAGTCAAATGTCTTGGGTTACCAATCCCAGCTCCATGAATACCACAGTGACCTTGAATAAATTAATTCCTAAGCTTCAGTTTGCCTTATATGTCAAGTAATATCCTTGTAGGACTGCTGATAAGCTTGAACATGAGCAATGCACTTGGAACAGTGCCTAGCACTCAGTACACACTCAATAAATAAATATATACTATTAATATGCTCCAGTTACAATGGTCTTCTTGCTAAATACAGTAATTGCTCTGCCATTTCTTTCACCTCCATTCACATGGCTCACTTTTACACTTTATTCAGCTCAAATTTCATCTCTAGAAAGGTGTTCCTGACCACTATGTTTCAATAATATCCACCTCTTCTTTACTTACACTTCATTTTTTCAAATCTAGTTTCATAGTTTTCCACAGTCTCATCGTGACCTATTTCCTCTAAGTATATGCAGTACTTTCTCTCATTAACATATAAACATAAAAGCCTCCACAGTGGCAGGATTCCTATCTTTTCTGTGTATACCTTCTTCACATAGAATTATACTTGATTAATGTATCAGACCATTTATTTCATCCCCACCCTCCAGTACCGGGACTCATTTTCTACATGGCGAACACTTTCAGGATATCTGCTTTTACACATACAGTTCCCTTGAGTCTGAAAAGCCATCCTAATCCAATCTCATTGAGACAATTCAAACTTCAAGAATTATTTTTCATAATCCACAAGCTTAGTACCATCTTCTCCAGTAAGAGGTTATAGACCACTTACTATCAGTCCAACAAGAGATTATTTGCCCAGGAAACAAAATCTAGTCTCTACTTCTAGCTTTATCATGAAGAAATAGTGTGTCCTCTAAATTCCTATAACACTTTGGGACTATCAACTCTACCTCCCATATCCCTGTGTTCCATACCCATGGATTCAACCAACTGCAGATAAAAGTAAGTAAAAATAAAAATGCACATATTCTGAACAAGTGGACTTTTTGTCACTATTCCCTAAACAATACAGTCTAACAATAATTATATGGCATTTATAATGTAATTTATAGATGAGTATGTGTCTTGTGAGAAAAGATGGCAGCTGAGCAAAATGCTCCAGTGATCCCTTCCCAGATACCAATTTGAACATCTATACACACACTAAGTAACCTTCATAGAAACCGCAGGAGCTATCATAGCCAGGTGAGAGACCTGTTGTTATAATCATAAAAGCTACACTGAAAGCAAGTAACAAAAAGCTGCCTGCATCACCCCTCTTCCAGCTCCAGGGAACAGAGTTTAAAGAGAGACACCTCCCACTTGATAGGGGGAAGAGAGAACTGAATCCCAGTGCCAGGCTTACTAAGAAAAAACTCAGCTGGACTGAGCCCCATGCACTTGCCCCCAGCTCTGTACCTGTAGACTGAGTATTTGCAGCTTCCAAGTTAGGGAGTGGCTGCCAAGCCTCCACTTACTGCTGACAGAAAGGCAAACTCCAGAAGTGCTGAGAGGACAGGAAAGGGAACCTAGGATCTCATCTTGGAGGTCAGAGCCAAGCCTACCACAGTCCAGGCACCTGATAAAGCCCAAAGGTCTCCACCCGACCACTGGTGCTCACAGTGTGAACCTCTAGATTTGCCTGGCTCAGGTAGAAATCTATATTCCAGTGGGTCACTCATTTTGGCATGTCACTGTTGGCCTCAGATGGGCTTGGAGCACACCCTTGAGATTACATGGGGGCTGGTGATGGTGACAGGTATGACCAGCCTGAGCAGCCAGAGGACTGACTTACTAGTCTCCTCCAATCTTGGGCCAATAGCAAGGATCCACCGGACTGTGTCTTGGGACTCAGTGTTGGGCTGATAAAGCACAACACTGGTAGTTCCTAAGAGTTTCCTTGCCTAGGTAAGTGCCTGTGAATAAAATCTCAGTACTTGCCCCAGTATCAGGTGGAAAGCTGCACCCTCATGAGACAGCTTTGTTGAGGCATGTATCACCAACCTCTCACAGGTATATTGTGGACCCCCAAGAGTGCACAGGGCCTGAGGACCAGGAGACCCACGTAGTACACGAGCTGAGAGGCTGCCTTTATCATCCTTCCTACAACCTTGTGTAAACAGCAAAGAATCATGGGACTGTGTTTGTGATTTGATGCTAGGCTGGTAAAACCTAGCATTGAGCAGATCTTAACGGTTCTTGACCTTAGGCCAGTGCCTGCAGACAGAGCCACTGGACCTGCTTCAGGGCAAGCAGAGTTCCATGGTCCTGGCTGAACAGTCTTACACCCCAGGCAGCATCACCAGTAGCTAGCAGGGATGGGCATCAGGCAGTAAGCCCACTTCAGCAGCAGAAAGACCACAGCAGTATGAGCTTGGGTTTTACCCACAGTCTGCAGTGTCCATGGTGGGCGGTGGGTTCCAGATGTAACCCAGCATTGTGGCATTGGTAGACATATGGCAAGAAATGTGAACCTACCACAGGCCTCAGAACAGCTTTGTAGGACAGAGTACTCCTTTTTAGACATTTACCCAGTTTATACTTAACAACATATGAATTCCACATTTTAGAGAAATCTGAGTTTGGAGAGTACTGTGGGACTGAATCAGTGAATAGGTAAACACGAACTTGAGGCAAACTTGACTTCGGGAGCTTCCACTAGAAGCATCCACAGGTTCAGAGAAAATGGAATGAAATTTCCAGAAGGACAGCCACAAAGATTACTACAGTCCTTCAATGTCTAGATAATGTCATATACCAACAAGCATTAAGACCTTCCAGAGACCGCACTGAGTTAAAGCCCTGGCCTGAAGCGCCGGCATCCCATATGGGCGCTGGTTCGTGACCTGGATGCTCCTCTTCCAATCCAGCTCTCTGCTACGGCCTGGGAAAGCAGCGGAAGATGGCCCAAGTCCTTGAGCCCCTGCACCCACATGGGAGACCTGGAAGAAGCTCCTGGTTCCTGACTTCAGATCGGCACAGCTCTGGCTGTTGAGGCCATCTAGGGAGTGAACCAGCGGATGGAAGATCTCTCTCTGTCTCCACCTCTCTCTGTAACTCTTTCAGATAAACAAAAATAAATCTTTAAAAAAAAAAAAAGATTTCACTTAATGGGCAAAATAAGGTGCCAGAAATCAACTATTTAGGAATCAAAACTTCAAAATGCTCAGAGGAAGGATTCAAAACAGCTGGTTTACAGGAACTCAATGAAATTCAGGAGAACAAACAATTCCATATTCTAACAGAGAGATCTAAACAAAAACAGAAATCTTTCAACTGAAAAGTACACTAAGTAAAATTTGAAATACAATAGAAGACAGCAATGCTAGAATAGATCAAAGAATGAAGAGAGCTCTGGGAACTCTAAGCATATAAAAGAACAACACCCAAATTACTGGGATTCAAAAGAGATAAGGATGGAAAACTCCCTAAACCTAGAGAAGATCCCAACTATCCTGGTACTAGGACATCAAAGATCCCTAGTCAGATTCAACCCAACCAAGTCCACCCCAAGACAAAATCAAGCTCTTCATGGCTAAAGGGAGGATTGACAAAGCTGCAAGAGAAAGAAACCAAGTAACACATAAAGGGTCTCAAATTCACCTGACTGGACTTCCAAGGAGAAACCTAACAGGCCAGAAGGGAATTGAAATGAGTACTGAAAACAAACAAACAAACCAACAAGCAAACGAAAAAAAGCTAAAGAATACTATACTTGGGGCCAGCATTGTGGCCTAATGGGTAAAGCAGCCGCCTGCAGTGCTGGCATCCCATATGGGTACCAGTTCGAGTCCCAGCTGCTCCACTTCCAATCCAGTTCTCTGCTATGGCCTGGGAAAGCAGTACAAGATGGCCCAAGTTCTTGGGCACCTGCACCTACATGGGAGACCGGGAAGAATCTCCTGGCTTGATTAGCTCAGCTCTGCCCATTGCAGCCATTTGTAGAGTGAACCAGCAGATAGGAAGATCTCTCTAACTCTAACTTTCAAATAAGTAAATAAATTAAAAAAAAAAAAATACTATGCTCAGCAAAGCTTTCCTTTCAATCTCAGAGAGCAATAAAGACATTCCCAAACAAAAGCTGGAGAGTTCATCACTAACATCACCAGGCCTGCTTTATGTGAGAAAGCGAAAGGGAGTTCTTTAAACAGAAAGAAAGAGATCTTAACAATTAAGAAGAAAATATCAGAAGACAGAGTGACTAGATGGACTAAAACACAGGTCTCAACTGCATGCTTCTCACAGGAAACTCACTTTACCTCTAAGGATACACAGATTGAAAGCTAAAGATGGAATAAGACTTTACATGTAAATGGTACACAAAATAAGAGTATCTATACTCCTATGAGATAAAACATATCTCCAATCAAAAGCAGTAAAAATAGACCAAGAAGGTCATAATATAATAAGAGGATCAATCCAGGTATAAGAAATAACACTTGTAAATTATAGACGCACCCAACAGTGGAGCCCCCAAATATATAAATATTTAATATAATCTAAAGGGAGAGACTCCATCATAATAAAGCCACCGCCTGCAATGCCAGCATCACATACATGCAATGGTTCAAGTCCCGACTGCACTTCTGATCCAGCTCTATGCTACGGCCTGGGAAAGCTGTAGAAGATGGCCCAAGGCCTTGGGCCCTGCACCCAAAAGGGAAGACC